ATAATAATAATAATAATAATAATAATAATAATAATAATAATAATAATAATGTTTCTTTTTTTGCAAGAAACAGGATCAAAGATATGAGAAGAGACCATGTTAAAAAATAAAAAAATAAATAAATCCTATTGACAACATGTAATTGTACCACCTATTGGCATTTGGCACCATAACGAATATGAATTTAACCTTTATGCCTATTATCCACTAAACTCATACCTTATTACCTAATTCAACTTAAATCGATACCATGCGAAATTCACAAATTATACTCACCTGTCATTCCTATTTTAGAAGTTACTTCGTATTAAAGTGTTCATATAAACAAGAAATATAAGCAACTACTTTGTAATAATTAATTTCTAAAGGAGGGAACATAGATTCAAAATAAAGAGACAGACAAATTAAAGTATAGAAAATGTTAATATAGCAATACCATATATCATCTTGCAAAAAAATAAAATAAAAATAAAAATAAATAAAAAAGATTATGTGCCACAATTGGCCTATTATAAAGCATAGCCACGGAGCCACCCAAGTGGGAATACATAAAAATGAGAAGCTTGTGATCGCATTCAATACTCAAAGTTTTCTTTTTTATTTTTATTAATTATCTTTTTTTGTTATTAATTATTATTACTAGTACATTGTAATATTGTATAGTATTAATATGTACAATTATTATATTATTTTTTTCAAATTTGGTGACCGAATTGTGTACCATGGTGGCGGGGCAGTCTTCATCAATTGTTTATTGACGATGTCGATTATTTTCCCTCCCAAAGGATTTGGTCACACTAAACGTTAATTTATTCTTAATTTAGAAGGGTTTCTTTGTGCCCTCCAAAAAGAAAAGGTTATCTTCATACCTAAAAAATAGTTTTGTTTAAGATATGATAGATCTATATGCATATATTTTTATTACAATAATTCATAAAGTTTTAAACTTCTCTCAAAATATTACGAGTTATAAAATATAATATAAGTAAATCTGATATTAAATCATTCAAAGTATAACATATATAATTATTAGTATGATATAATTTAAAAATATAATGATCTAACTAAATGCATCATGAAATGTAGTAGATATTTTACAATATAATATAAAAATGCATTGCATTTTTAATTTGTTTGGGTTTATTATATTATTCGTGGCTAAAAACTACTCCGTAAATTTTTGGTCTGCACAATGTACTGTATTAATTGTTTAACGTAAAATTGGGTTACAATTAAACTATTTTCGATAATTATATAATTTTCTTATAAGAAATAACAAAAAATTACAAAAGTTGAAATACTATTTTTTTGACCTAACGACAAAAAAAAAAATTACTTCTCAAATTTGTTTAATTTATTACTCCGTAATAATATATTACATAAAATTACTTCTCGTGTTACATTTTAAATACGCAGAGTCGGGGTAAAGATAAAGCATACGAAATATCCGTATGAGTACAACCTTTTTTTTTTTTTTTTTTTTTTTTGACAAACCGTATGAATACAATACACAAGTTAACACAAGAAGTTGATACAAGTTGTGGTTGAGTTGGCAAATATTGACTTTCCTATATAATTCTTGGCTGTAATGTGAAGCTCAAGGTAAAGTTGCTATCAAAAACTTACGAGCCAAGTAGTCAAATTTAAACTGTAGCATGCATGTGGTTAACTTAGCTTTCTTTTATGGCAACACAAGAAGTAACGTTATCAACCAATAACATATGATTATGTATATATTTCTATTTTTGGAAACATCCCAATTGTTAAATCTAAAAATAGTAAGTAATTTAACAAGCCGTGTTTCAGCGTATTATTCTGCGTGTTGAGTTGAGTACATTGTAGAATATGCTGATTTTTATTTGCTGCCATCACTGCCAATTGCCAGCCTGATTTTGGGGTAGCTAGTCTACTTCATGTGGTGCAAGGTGTTTTTGCATGTTAATTGTTTGCCATAGGCCTTCCTCTATTTGAGGGATATATTAGGGTTTTTGTTACTTTGCATGCTTGTCACCTAAGATGAATATATAATAATATATCTTAATATCTTAATTTAAAAAGGGGTTAATATTATATTATGATTAACAACAGTTATTATACAGATATGATTCATGTGGTAAGAATTTTAAGGGGTAATTTAATTTAAGTTGAGGTTTGAGTATAGGTAAATAATATCATCCTAACCCAACCTGGCCATTACCCACACCTACCACTTCATAACCTCAAAATTAAACCCCAACCACGAACCACCTCACCTACACTGAGACTGATTGTCCCTACCACCAGCTTCCACTGTGTTATTTTAACTACCAATGTGGTGTGAAAATGTCGATAATATATAGTGGTGGTGTGAGAAAAAATCATTAGAGGATGATTGACAAAGAATTGAAAAATCACTACACAGGATTAATTGTTATCCTAAGAGGCACATTATAATATACAGAGTATATATATAATTTTTTAACGCATATTGTAATATAATACGAGTATTAAGATAATAATAATAATAATAATAATACTGTTATTGTCTTTTCATTCTGCACATTTGTCAATACAAATCTTTACTAATTAATACTCCATATAGATAATTATGTATCAACTAGCCTTTTGGCCCGTTCCATGCATGGGTTATTACTTAGAATATTTTCCTTGTAATGTTCTGCTTATTTGTGTTATATGAGTCAACATTATTTTATTGTACTTTATATATATATATATATATATAATGTGAACTAATTACCTTTTTTTTTATTATTACTTTATTTTAAGTTTAAGAGATGAAAAGACTACGACTTTATTTTGGTGTACTTGAAACACTTAATTTCAATTTGCAAGTTACAGAATGCATAAAGACATGAACTTTTTTTTTTGATAAAGAAGGTGACATGTGGCATATGAGTAATGTGTGGTTTATGTTTTTAAATACTAAGTATAGATATAGATATAAATAATTATAAAAAAAAAATTAATCTAGACTAGTACTCATTGAGACGAAAACAAACTAACGAATACTTATTGTGCCATAAACGCCGATTTTAATTATTGTTTTACGTCTTACTCCCCATTATTTAATTTAAGCGAATGCTTATTATACCCAAACATTAATCACTAAATCATTATAAAGTAATATTTTAAGAAAATGTTTAATTTTTTGTTTTCTGAAATCCTAATAATGTAAGTGAATGCTTATTATACCCAAACATTAATCATTAAACCACTATGAAGTGATATATTTGGAAACGGTTTTATTTTTCTTTTTTCTTTCTGAAATCATAAAAATTCTTCATCTATCTATGTATCTATTTGACTATTTCTATACTTTATAATTTATATAGTTATATACTGTAGACTTGTACAGTGTGGACACTACAATGTTAAAATAAAAAAATGCTACTTGGGCTATTGCATATTTGCATGCTTACAAGGCTGGGCCTGATGTTAGTTCCTTATTACAAGGCCACATGTATTGGAGGCTTTTATTTTATCTTATTTTTATGTTTATAGAAAATTTGCAAATTGCAGCCATTTAAACTTTGTATTTTGTAAATTGCAGCCTTTTTAAAAAAATTACAAATTGCAGCCCAAAAGTTCATATAAATTGTAAATTACAGCCCGATTCAACTTTTTCATCGGTTAACAAGTTGAAAAATCTTCAATTTAGGTTTTAGGGGCCATTTTAGTTCTTTAGGGATCGAATTGAGCTCGGAATTAGCAAAAAAAAATAACGCAAGTATCTCGTTTTGCGTAACAATAATGTATCGATTTGTGGAAAACTGTAAATATGAGACACTTACGTTATTTTTTTGCTAATTTCGAGCTCAATTCGGGTCGTTAAGGACTAATATGACCCCTAAAACCTTAACCGAAGATTTTTCAACATGTAAATCGATGAAAAAATTAAATCGGGCTGCAATTTACAATTTATACAAACTTTTGGGCTGCAATTTGCAAAAAAAAAAAATTAAATGGCTGCAATTTGCAAAATACGAACTTTAAATGGCTGCAATTTGTAAATTTTCCTATTTTTATATTTTATATTCCATCCAATTCACCCTTTGGGCTAATCCGAATTTGAAGATCAGTCGTGGATGGTAAGTTTTAGTCCCCTCCCAATTGAAGGCACTTTAGTTGAACTATATTAAAACATATCACAAGTTCACCTTAATAAGTAATGGAATTTTCATCTCTTTACTAATTCAATGCAGTCTTTTTTGGAATTTATTAATAGGTGCAAAACCACTATGTACTTCAAAGCTTAAAGTTTAATTAACCATTATGGAAAATGAAATAATTTGTCCAACAAACTAATATAGAAATACAACTTAATTACAGTATATTAGAAATGAAGGTATTATATGTCATTCAGTAACTAGGGAGTATTTTGAACATTCCCTTACGCCTAAAATAAGATGTATTGGTATGATTTTATTTAGTGTAATCTTATTTGAATAATCTAAACTAGTATGATACACATAAGGCTTAATTTTGACCGTAGCTTTACACTTATGTATAAAGATAGAAACTATCAATTTAGTTTTTGTTGTATTTGTCTTGATTTATACTTGTGAAATATGTAATTTTCATGATTTGTATTAACATGCAATTAAAAATATTTAACATTAAGTAAACACGTATTAAATTTTTTTATTTTATTATCTATTGATTTTTTTTTTCGAGCACCGATTGATTTAATTATTATGGTAAGGATAGGTACTACGTGACAAGTGTATAAGTTGAAGAGAACAAGTTCTAATTTTAGATACAAAAAGAATTCCGTAGTTGCAGTAGGCAAGAGACTGTCTAGATGAGCAGATGATAGGTTAAAGGATGACATAGGCTCATATCCCACACAGCAAAAACCGGGCACAAAACTGCAGGGTTATGGTCTTACTAAGAATTACTACAACCTATTAAGGTGACCATTACTCCCACAGTTTGAGCTTTGAAGTAAGATCTGAAATATGGCATTATAATATAAGCTCTAAACTTCTAAATTATGAACATTTTTTGCGAAATTGAGTAGTAAAACTTCCTCCATTTTCAATTTCTCATGTTCTCACCATTTTCATAATTCTATATGTATACATGGACCCTTGGGAGAAAGCGAAAAAGAGAAAATGTAAGAAGTTACTGAACTATAAAGAAGAACATAAGAAAGAGGTTCCTTTTTTCTTCATTTTCTTTAAGAAGAGAGGGGGAGAGAGAGAGAGAGAGAGAGAGGGAGGGAGGGAGGGAGGGAATGTATCCCTACAGATGAAATGAGTATATGAGAGCGCCTATAAGAAGGCTAACCACCTCACACTTCGAATGGGAGAATGTATTGTATATACAACAACACTATGTAAGAATGAAATCTTCGGCAACTAAGCCAGAAGGTTGAAGGGTTTAAGCAGTAGCAGCCTTCTCTTCTTCATAGTGATTTGCTGGGAGAAGAGTGCAGACCAAGTTCCGATCACCATACACATTGTCCACACGCGCTGAAATCAACCACAAGAAAAGTTCCAGTTTAATAATGAGAGATAGAAATGGATAGGTACATTTTTAGATACCAGAGATGGGATATTGGAAGCATACCAGTAGTTGGCCAAAACTTGGCAGCGCGCAGCCATTCAGCAGGGTATGCAGCATAATCCCGAGTGTATGGCTTGGTCCACGAGTCTGCCATGAGCATGGAGGGTGGGTGTGGTGCTCCCTGCATAAACAGTAGCCAATTCATTATCTCACATAGGCAAGCTTCACTCTTTCACCTGAAAAACTCTTATCGATCTGATCCTTTTGGAACTTTCTAAACTGGTTGGAATTCATCTGAACTTGTCAATTAATTATTACAGTGAATTGAACCTAGATAGCCTTACTGGAACTTATATTCCCTGAAACTTATAAATCTACTATGCTAGTCAAAGCTGTAAATCTGCAGTATAGGCTAAAATGCTATAATTGGTTTTATGAGAAACTGAAGTAAGTGAACATCAAAAGGACAAACATATATTGATCAGAAGAAAGATTAATGTTTTACCTTGAGGACATTGTTGTGGACATCAGCTTTTCCATTCTCAATCTCAGCAATTTCTTCTCTAATGGAAATTAGTGCATCACAGAACCTGTCTAATTCTGCCTGTTGAAGCAATAATACAAAAACATTAATCACATACGTGAGAATATCAGAGAAAAGAGTGACTAGCAGGATTAAATCAATTAAGGCAAATACCTTGCTTTCACTTTCAGTGGGTTCAATCATGAGTGTGCCAGGAACTGGCCATGACATTGTAGGACCATGGAATCCATAGTCAATTAGACGCTTGGCAACATCCTCAGCCTCTATACCAGCAGTGTTCTGCAATGGAAGTAACATTTAACCATAGAAGCATGGAGTTTAACCAAAGTTATAACTTGAGTAATTACATCAGAAGAATTACCTTGAAGCCTCTCAAATCAATGATAAATTCGTGAGCACATGTTCCATTGACACCACGGAAAAGGACTGGATAATGGTTCTGTAGAGACCAATAAAGTTAGCAATATCATAATTACGTATTCTAATATTGTTATACAGCTTTCATGCTATCTTTTAACAAAATGGTTCAAACAAATTTACATGAATGTCAGATTTAATGGTCATTCATCGTTAGCTTAGAATTTATGAAAATCAAAGGACGTCAAGAACACATACCTCCAAACGCTTTGCCATGTAGTTTGCATTCAGGATAGCTTGCTTAGATGCTTCAGTTATGCCATTTGATCCCATCATAGCAATATATGTGTATGAAATTGGTAAAATTAGAGCAGATCCCCAGGGCGCAGCAGAGATGGTACCTAGCGGCTCTAATTTCTCTGGGGCAGGAATTCCACCAGTGCCAACCTTCAACAAAACAAATATCAGAACTTCAGAAGTTTTGCTGCATAGTTTGAATACAAAAATTTGGGACCATTATAACATGAACATATCTCAAATTTACAACTTTATAATGGACAGCATCTATTACATCATCTATATGGTGGAGATAAAGGACTCAAATGAAGAGGAGCTATTAGGTGATGTATTAACATTAAAAATTTCTGTTCAGCATATATTGTCTGCCATATAGCATAAGTTCCTTTGGGAATTACGCGTCTTAAGCTAAGAAACTTGCCTTCGATTTTTAAGATGTAAGATACGCTCAATGTAATCAAATCAAATGAATTTTCTGATTCATGGGCTAAAAATGATGCAAAGTAAGATGGGATGGTGGGCATTGGACAATGGGTCTTGACTCTTGAGGTGCTATCAGAGTTAAATAGCTGATCCTTTGATTATTTGAGTCTATGGGAGAATTAGCTAATGGCTTACTGCAAGCACTGATGTTTTGCCTTTGTCTGAAATAAAATTTACATCTAAGAAAAATGATAGCATCAGTTCGAGTCAAACATGGTCATCACACTATAGAATCAGTAGGTAAAAATAATTTCTCATGGTAACATTTACCGTTTATACAACTGTATAATACTTATGCAAAAGGGGAGGTTAATAAAAGCACAATAATCATGCATTAAGTTCAAATGAGAGTTCATACCACAGGGTGCGATGGCAAAAATGGTGCCAAGTGTTTCTTTACACCAATGGGGCCCATACCAGGACCACCTCCACCATGAGGAATGCAAAATGTTTTGTGTAGGTTGAGATGACAAACATCTGCTCCAATGAATCCTGGGCTTGTGAGACCAACCTGGGAAAAATGATACATGTCATCAATTATCAAGTCTTATACTGATATAGTTGCAAACATAATTCCAGATAGAAAGCAGCACATGCTAAAAAAACGTCAAAGAAAGCGAACTTATTAAAACTACAACGTATCACAAAAACAGCCAATGCCTGTGAATGAACAGCCATAACTAACTGATTATCATATACCTGCATAATTAAAATCATTCTCTCTTCCTATCGGTTACATTTGGTATAAGCAAATGACAAAGTGAGGTAGTAGAGAAAAGGAAAAACTAATGACAGCTTAATTTTTTTGGCACAAGTGTTCCATTTTACACTAAGGCCTTGTTTTTTTTTTACATCTCATTCTTACTGATTCGCATATAATTTTGTGATAACTTACTGGTTTTTACTCATTTAAACTTTTTTAACTGAAACCCTGTTATTTACTTTCTACGAAACACACCCATGTTATAGCTGTTTAAGTCTCTGACAATGCTGGCAGAAAAATACATAAAATTATCAAAGTGTAAGATACAGAAGACAAGCTTTAATTGTAATCCCAAAAGGCATCAAATCCATGATTGAGGTCAGCAAATTATATTATCAGTGACAATCAAATTAGCAACTAGACCTAAGAAGTCAAAGGCAATCAATTAATCAATTAACCTGTGCATTCATGTTGGCACCATCCATGTATACTTGACCTCCATTGTCGTGAATTATCTTGCAGATCTCATCAATTCCTTCTTCGTAGACACCATGAGTTGAAGGATATGTGACCTGCATGACAGAAGAAAATTCAACCACCCAAAGGCATATCATATATATTCAAAATATTACTGTAATGTGACCATTAGTGAAGTAGGTCACAGTGGATCATACCATAAGGGCAGACAAATTGTCCTTGTGTTTTTCAGCAGCCTTTCTCACTTCTTCAATGTTAATATTTCCCTTAGCATCAGTTCCAACAGAGACAATTTTCATACCACACATAGCTGCACTTGCAGGATTTGTTCCATGAGCAGAGACAGGTATGATGCACACATTACGATGATGATCTCCCCTGGACTAAAATGAAAAACAAAATTTTGCATATCAATCAAAATACTTGTGGGTGTTGTAAATTGTAATAGCAAGTTATGGATGATAATTTGGAAAAACAGAAAAGGTATATAAAATTTAAGTTCCCAGACTACATGACAGCAAAACAATATGTTCCAACTAACTAAAAAAATTTAATGTGCCTAAGATATACATATACTGTAGTGGAATAGTGGAAATGGAAAGCTCTACACACTTGCAAAAACCCTTAAAGAGTAAAGGTGACATATGTTTACATGGCAGTCCTCCTAAAACCAACAGCCTTGCATGGTCATATCCCCTATTCTATCCATTCGAGTAAGTCATCTCAATATTACATGTGAAATACCAAATGAGTCTATAATTATCATACCATATGGTAAGCTCGGATAACCATCAACCCTGCATACTCTCCAGACGCACCAGCATTAGGTTGCAGAGAGAAAGAGTCGAATCCAGTAATGGTGCACAGTAAATCACCCAAATTTTGGAACATTTCCTATACACAATAAAGAGCAGATAGACCCAATAGAAAGTGTAAGGCGCATTTCCAGAATATTAAGTTAATAAAGTCTAAATAATGAATACTAGCAACACATGTTATTTCTTGTACCTGATATCCTTGAGCCTGTTCTGTTGGGGCAAAAGGATGTATACTTGCGAATTCAGGCCATGTAACTGGCATCATTTCAGTTGTGGCATTCAACTTCATTGTACAAGATCCCAGTGGAATCATACTGTGGCATAGTGACAGATCCTTTGACTGTAATTTATAAAGGTATCTCAGTAGCTCATGCTCCGTGTGGTATCTAATACAAATAATTGCATTCAGAAATCAGAATACAACATCAAACACATAACTATTTCATAGTGAACTTAGTGAAGAGATTCCATACGAGTTAAAGATTGGGTGAGTCAAATATGGGCTCTCCCTCACAAGGTTAGCAGGGATTGCATTCTCCACTTCTGGAGCAATAGATGCAGCAGTAAAAGGTACCTGACAGATAATCAAGATTGTGATGAAAAATAAATTCAGCACACTTTCAAGTATTGTGTGTTATTGTGAATTTCATCAATCTATCAGTGTAAATTAGAGAAACTCACAGCCTTGCCACCAGCAAAAACTTTGAAAAGTTTATCAACGTCTTCCAAAGTTGTTGTTTCATCAAAAGCAACAGTGACCTGAGAGTCAAAAGGCAACACTCAATATAAGAAGGAACATGATTCATATACAATACTGTGGCGTAGTTTTTATAAGAAATCAAACTCACCGTGTTGTTGTCCACAACACGCAAATTCATCTCATGCTTACAAGCTTCATCAGCAAGTGCTTTGGCATCAGCACACTTGATCTTTACTGTGTCAAAGAAAGGCAGTCCCTGAACTTCTACTGTCCCAAGTTTTTTCAACCCAGCTGCTAATGTGCCAGCAAGACCATGCACCCTTTGGGCAATAGTTTTAAGGCCTTCAGGTCCATGATAGACACAATACATAGCAGCCATGTTGGCCAGCAAAGCCTTCATAATAGGAAATAAAGCTCATTTAACCACAGCAGAACCAATAAAATCAACAGAAATATTATTACATAAACATGTCTTATGATTGTGAAGATCACTAAAACAAAAACAGCCAGAAAAAATAAGAAAGAAACATAGCACATCTCAAGAGTTGCAAAACAAAACTTCTTGCTTCCCCTGGAACATCCTCCTCAAAGCAGGATCAAAAGGGGAGCAGACCCTTATTTTCATCCTCAAACTATCAACACAATACAGTCATGCAAGCAATAGAGAATATAACACAATAAGAATATAATAGCACAACACAAGCAGGCAAACTGTGATATGTAAGATGAATTGAGCACAGACAAATAATTTGTCAAAACACACATACTCGCACACACAAATATATAAAAAAAAATAAATATATAAACAATCTGCTTCATAATTCAGACAGACAACATAATCTATCCAACTCCACAAACTATGTAAGAGAAGCTCTATACCTGAGCAGTACAGATGTTGCTAGTAGCCTTGTCTCTCCTAATGTGTTGCTCCCTTGTCTGCATTGCCATACGAAGAGCAGACTTGCCAGACGAATCAACACTAACACCGATAATTCTTCCTGGCATCAACCTCTTGTACTCTTGAGAGGTGGCCAAGAAAGCAGCATGAGGACCTCCATAACCCATAGGCACTCCAAATCTCTGAGCTGACCCAACAACAATATCAGCCCCCAATTCACCTGGTGGCTTCAACATTGTCAAAGCCAAAAGATCAGTAGCCATAACCACCTTAACCCCACTAGCATGCGCTTTCTTAACAAACTCCCCATAGTCCAAAACCTCCCCCTCAGTACCAGGATACTGCACAAGCACACCACAAACATCCCCAGACGAGTAATCAATATCCTTAAGATCCGCTGTCACGACCTTAAGCTCGAAACCATCAGCTCGAGTCTTACAGATATCAATAGTCTGTGGATGACAGTTATTAGCAATGATAAATGTTTTCCTCTTCCCTTTCAATATATTGTTACACATAGCCATCGCCTCGGCTGCAGCCGTACCCTCATCAAGCAATGAGGCATTCGACATAGGCAAACCAGTAAGATCAGTAACCATAGTTTGATAGTTCAACAATGACTCTAACCGACCCTGAGAAATCTCAGCTTGATAAGGTGTATACTGAGTATACCAAGCAGGATTTTCCATTATATTCCTCAAAATCACAGGTGGTACAAATGTATCATAATACCCCATCCCAATAAATGACTTAAAAATCTTATTCTTTGATGCCAAATCCTTCATATGATCAATCATTTGAGACTCAGTTAAACCCTCATCAAATTTTGAATACTTCATTGATTGGATCCTTATTGATTTAGGCACAGTTGCATCAATTAAAGCATCAGTATTATCAAACCCACAAAATTTAGCCATTTTAATTTCTTCATCTGGGGTTATTGAATTATGTCTCCTAGCAAAACTATCATTGGGTTTCAATGCTTCTACAGAAATAGATCGAGTTTGAGGTAATCTCCCAAACCCCACATTTCCTAATTCATTGTTCTTCGAGAAGAATCTAGAAGAAGATGAAGGAGGAGGTGGTGGAGCCATTGTTGAAACATACCTTGCAGAGGAGATTGAATCAACCACCTTGTTGTGGTGGTTGTTGGGGCGGTGGTGGTGGTGCAACCGCCGCAAAAGTGCTCTTCCAGCAACCTTTCTTGCGCGCTCCATTGATAAAGATTTGATCTTTTTGCAAAAACAGAGAGAATTAGAAAGATGGGTGATTTTTTTTTGCCCAAATGAGAAATGGGCAGTGATTTTTTTTTGTGTAGCAGAAAGTTCAGAAATATAAGGATTCCATTAGAGTAGGAGAGAGTGGGCTAAAAGGCTACTAGTGGGTTGGTGGATACTATATTGGATGCTTTGTTTATTTATATTTGTAATTACAAAAAATATTTCATTTATTATTATTGTGTGATGCCATTTATTTGGAAATTAATGTGGGCCAAAAAGTCCCAAAAAGATAAATAAAATTGAGAAAATACAAATATTGAATAATAAATGTTTTTTATTAGAAAAGAAATCAACTCAACAACTCAATTCGATGTATTAGTTTGATTATAATATCTGCTCCTTAAATATTGTACAGAGTAATTTTTTTTCCATAAAATTTTGTAAATATTGTTTCATTTCATATAAAATAAAGGATCTTGCAAACGAATGCCTCCGAGGCGTTGGATAAACATTTAAAATATTACTTCCTCCGTCCCCGATTGATAGTCACTTTTGCATTTTTGGTGAATAAAAATGTTAGTCACATTTGTTTTTTTTTAAGTACCATTAATATTATTTTTTTACCAAATTTCTCTAACATTTGAAAAAATATTTGTGCAAATTTGACTTTCACATGTACTTTAATTACTTTATCTCTCTACTTATTTGCATATCCAATGTAAATATACTTTTTCAATGTACTTTCTTTAATTCTCCTTAATTCCTGTGATTTTTCTTCAAAATTGACTATCAATCAGGGACGGAGGGAGTACTAAAAGTGGTATAAATTTGGGAAAGCATGACAAAATCACGCATCAATCGGTGTAATTAAATGTTCATTTTAATTTAATCTTTCTACTTTTAGCTAGCTTATTCAACGCCCTCGGGCGTTCGTTAGCTTTTGCCTAAAATAAAATCTCAAATATTAAAAGAGTTCTTATTAACATTTCTTAGGGCGTGTTCGGCGCTAGCTTTTGAGTAGCTTTTAGTGGTTTGACCAAGTCAAACCACTACTCAACAAAAAATGTGAGTGTTTGGCAATGTAATGGTTCAAGTAGCTTTTAGTGGTGGAGGTAGCTTTTATTAAAAGGTAGGATTATTAGCTTTTGAAGTTAGAGGTAGCTTTTGTAGCTTTTGAAAATTTATTGTATAGTTTTAAAAATAAAATATTGATTCTTAAATGTAACAGCTAGTCAACCACTACTTTACCGAACAATCATAACTAAATTATCTTTTTTCACAGCTAACAGCTTGTTGACAGCTAACAACTATCTCTACAGCTCACAGCTATCTTCACAGCTACAGCTATCTTCACAGCTACATTTTGCCGAACATGCCCTTAGATTCCTTATCTACTCAAGTTTTGAGGCAAATTCACAAGATTATTTTAGACTCTATCATATTTTACCTACTTTCTTTATTGTCAAGATAAATAAAGTACTATGTATATACTTACATCTAATGAGATTGAAGTCTTCTTTTGATTTTTGTTTGAATAACCATATCACTTAATAAAAATGCTAGAGTTGTCTACAAAAATGCTAGAACTTGTAAATTAAATCGACAATTAAGAAAATTAATATTATAAATTATGTGTTAAACAAACATAGATAAAGACCCTTTACAGTAATTAACTCATAGCTGATTAATATATTTGATTATATAATTAGCCCATAGCTCATAGCAGGTTTGACTAAATAGCTGATTGTGTGAAAGTATGTGGTAAATAGCTATTAATTATCAGCTATTTTGGTGTATTTAATACCCAAATGAGTGAATGACTAATTGTTAAATAAGCTAGTTTCAAAAGGCTATTATGCTAAACTTTTTCTAAAATAATCTTTTTAAGCCCAAACTGTTCTTTCAATAGACTATTTACTAAACATCTAAATTAACTTTTCACAATAATTGATCTCTAATAGAGCTCAATAAGCTAAAAGTTTTAAAAAATCTCTTTACCAACAAAGCCTAAAACTATTTAATTTTAAGGACCCGGGAAAAATCGTTGTACATGAATAACAAATAAATTTGTTGAAAATAAAAACTCGTAGTTTTAAAGTGGGAGATGGTTGGTGATGATGGGACAAGAAGAGAGAGAAAGTAAGTTAGATTCACCTAAGCCAGAAAAGGACACTGATTGCCAACGTCAACGTGCATATCACAGAAATTTTCAATTATTTTAATCACAAAATAATTCTTATTTAATTAATGTCAGAATACTCAGAAACTTTGGGAAACTGTGACTGGACAAAAAAAGGAGGCAAAACCCACTATCACAATGGGATTGAGTGATTGGAGAGGATTGTTCAACAATAGATTGAATTTCAATGGATCATATTTCACTCTATTTGCTAAGGAGAGGATCACCTTATAAAATACTAATATTTTTTAAAATTTTATTTTAAATATCAAATACTCTCTCCGTTCATAAATAATCTTCTTGTATCGGTTCTTAAGATGTTGAAAAAAATCTAGTTATTTCAAATTAAAAATATTGTTTCTTAATTAAAGTAAAGCAAACCCTTTTGTTCTCACACGCTATTACCTTATTAAATTACTATAGTAAAATTTTTAATATGCGTGTCAAAATTTAACAAAAAGATTTTTTTTATGGAGAGAGAGAGAAAGGGATACATGATTTAAAGAGAATTGATATTTTAAAAAAGTTTCTTTGGCTGTGGAATTATGTGTTGGCAGATTTTGTTACACATTTGGCTTATCACAATTTTGTGCCTCACAAAAATGACACCAATGAATATACTTTAGATTTCCTAAAGTGTTAAAGAAAAAAAATCAAGATTTCTTTTAACGGTTTACAAAGGTGAGACAACTTTGTGCACTATTTGTGGCATAAATCTATTTATATTACCGTATCAGTTTAAATATGTCTATATTACGGTACAGAAGTCACACACATCATGTACATAGTATTTGATGATTTATGTGTACTTGTGTATATAATTAAAATATCAATTTTTTAAGGTAATATATAACCAATTTTGAGTAACTTTTAACTTGCTTTGTAGGTAATTATAAATCAATACTCGGTATGATTTTAGTGTAATTAGATCGTTGGATATGTTTATAAAAGCAGCATACTTGCCTTCACACTTTTTTTCTAAAATATGTTCAAGTGGTTGCCTTCACACATTATTATTACTAGAATGTATCCGTGCGAATGCACGGGATATATGAATATTTAGGGGGAAAAATACGGAGTATAAGTGAAAGTTAATTTTTAACTTGCTTGTTAATTTGGAGATGCGGCAGTTTTTTGGAGTTACAGGGTTTTTTTTTTAATAAAAGAAAATTTAAAATATAAAAGTTAATAAGATTTAAGGATTAAGATTTTGGAGGCTTGTCATTAAAAGTTGTAAAAAACAACTCTTAAATTATATATTTGATTATTATTATTATTATTATTATTATTATTTTAAACTTATTTTAAGAGAGCAAATTCATCAATAAATTCATCAAAGAGTGCCAGGGGTGTTGTAAACATAATAAATACAAGTAATAATTAATAGTAATAAATGTAATAATTATAAACATGTGCTTATAATTAGAGTTAGAAAGGGTATGAAAAAGAAAGGAAATGAGAGACTAAAGTGATTTTTATTTTAATTTTTTTCTTTATATTACCATTAATTACAATCTCCTACTTTTTTTAAAAAAAATAAAAAATAAAAACATTCGCACATGACAAAAATCCAACCAACTATATCACTCCTTACCAAAATCGATCAATTGATATTAGGTTGAGTATCACAATGTTAGCCAAATTTCCCTTTTATTCACACAATTATTCTCTTCACATCGAGAAATTTAAGATCGGTGAGGGTTGCTTACAAGGTCGATTGAATGTCTGTTAATTAGTTTGTTATTTCCAACGTACAAGTGTTCTTCACTTTGTTTTAATTTAAAGAATAGATTTTTTGGAGAATGGTTAAGATTATTTCACATAGCGAATATTTAATCTCATTATTGAAGATGAAAAATCACTTTTTTTCTTCTTAATTTTGTGGAAGACATGAAATCCCAAAATTTTGGGCGTATGTTCTACAATTTGTTTTGCTGGATTTTGTAGTTTAGTCATGCATACCTTCAAAATTAATATCTAAGTGTAAGAAGAATGAATGTGATTCTTTCGTATATTTATGGTAGATTTTTATGTTAGTTGTGAATGGACAATAGTAAATGTGACCATGCATGCATTACGTACAAAGATATGCTAGAGCCAACGTTAGTTGCTTTGATGTTTCAGTTTACAATGAGATTTTCATGAGAACCGAAAATCACTCCACCATTGAAAAAGAAAGGTTTGTTGAATAATAAATGTTTACTCGTATAATTATAAATTTATAATTATATATACAGAGTATATATATAAAAAGAGTTTTATCTCCATTCTTTTTTGTATGTTCCTAAAACATGGGAAACTATAATCAACAATCTTGTGTTCCAAAGAAGTTATCATAATTGTTTGATGATAAGGTTATTTATGAATTTAATTAGTTCTATGGTAAGTGAAAAAAAATAAAGATATATTGTATGCATTATGTAGTAATTAAAATTTAAGGGTAATGATATATGTATGTAGCCCATAGGGTTATATAGGGCTCCAGTTATATATAAGCATTAAATATATACTTCCTAAAATGAAATCTAGTTGGGAATTTATAACAAAATCACGCGTAAATCAATATAGTTAGTATGGAGTATTATTTTATCTTCAATATTTTCGCTTGTTTATCACTTTCCTTTTAATTAATACTGCATATATAAATTCACATTTTGGATTGCAACAAATAACTCAAAATTTAATACGGAGTACGTGTATTTCGTACAATGGATATGAATAAAAATAAATTAAATGGATCGCAATGGATAACGATCAATTTTTATAAGGAATTGAAGGTTTAATCCCGGCACCTTCTTGGATGGTCCTTCTAATACCATTCCCAAGATAAATTAGAGGAGCTGAGGATAGAGTAGGATATTAGGAAAGTGAGAAATTACTTAATTTAGCCCAAGTTTGATAAGGTTAGTTGCCCATTAATTAGTGGAGGAACTCGTAATTAAGATACCCTTTAGATTTAGACCATCTAAAGGAGTAAAGGGTAGTTTTACCTCTAAAAGCTCTA